CAGCAGCTGTAGCAGTAGCAGTAGCAGTAGCAGCAGCAGCAGCAGCAGCAGTAGCAGCAGCTGTAGCAGTAGCAGTAGCAGTAGCAGCAGTAGCAGCAGCAGCAGTAGCAGCAGCTGTAGCAGTAGCAGTAGTAGCAGCAGTAGCAGTAGCAGCAGTAGCAGCAGCAGCAGTAGCAGCAGCTGTAGCAGTAGCAGTAGCAGTAGCAGTAGCAGCAGTAGCAGCAGCTGTAGCAGCACTGAGAATAATGTGGGTAAGGCATTAGACACGCGCGCTCGTGGGGGAGACACGATGCCAGCTATCAAGTGGTTTGTCATCAATCTCTGCTGGCCAGCCCACTGCTCTGCGCTCGCTGCCACGCTCGCTCGCTCGCTCACTTTCGGCGCAAATCGCTTTTGAATGAGCGCAGAATCGGATAATAAAGTTGCCCATCGGAGAATCACTACTGCAATCAAGGTCAAGATGGCCGCCGCTGCGACATCGCGGACGTGACCAATCACGGGCGAGAATCAAAATCAACATGGCCGCCGCTGTGAGGGTCGCTCTTCGTCCGAGACGTAGGGTTTGTTTGGCGGATCATATGATCCTGATCACACGGATCCAGTCAACCTGCACGTTGTGCATTTGTTTGGCCAAATCAGGATCAAGTGATCCTAAATTCGTCTTAAATCCTATCTTTCATTTCACGAAGCGATTTAAGTACATATTTAACTAATCACATAATTAGCCGACTTAAACATGAATTACACTGTATTCAAAATGGTGAACAACGCCAAAAGTACCTGCAAATTCGGTACATGAAAAGAAATTAATTTGCAATTATAATGACTAAATTAGTACAGCTAATCTTAGATAATTTAAATTTCCTTGGGAAAAAATGGAAGTAAAATTTCCAATTGTAAAATCTGCAGCCTACTTAATCCTACTAGTACTACCTACATACTAGTACTAGTACTAGCAACTAATCATGATTAGTGGATTTAATCATGCTCCTGAGTAGAATTAAATATTGTGATTAACTTAATCAT